ACAAAACTTTTGTAAATAGAAGGTGAGGCAGAAATCTCAAACATTCTCAGAAACCTCACTTTATTGCTCAGAGCTCCATTAGGTTGATGACGAGGTTAGAATTCAGGATTATTCAGGCTTTGCAATGTCTAGCCCTCTTCCTGTCTGTCCATCCAGGCTGATGTCTTTAAGGGCCCTCCCAGGAACCTAGCAAGAAACATGCTGACAAGATATGAAGGTTGCATTTCAAAGCCTGCTCTTTATTTCTGCATCCAGGGGAAAAAAGAGTTTGTGGAAAGCCTGGCCCTCTCCATCTGCAGTCAGCAGGACTCACACTGTCTGCTGCCAGGAAAATAAGGATCAGGATCCCAGGCTATAATAATCAAGGTGAACACAGCAAAACGTGAGTGCTAAGAGTTAGATCCATTATTGTGCTTTCAGTCAGGAGTTCTGCAGTCATCAGTGGACATGTTGAACCCATGAGGGCTAAGCAACTTGTCTAGCAACTGGACCTCCCTCATCCTTTTTCCCCACACTGTCCTGGAGAGCTGGACAAGATCACATATTCCCACTGTCAACATGCAGTAGGCAGCTCTTCAAGTGACCTGGTTTTACAAAAACGCTGAGTTCAGTGGAAATTACTGTGTGTAACACATTTAAAAACAGGGACATTGGAGGCAAACCTATTAAGCACCTTTTGAACCAAGACCAAATAACCAGGCTTTATGAACCAGCCTTTTTTCTCATCTCCCTTGAAAACCAAATCAAAGCTACATAAAACTGCAAAATACATTGCACAGTGTTTTGACAGCTCTCAGCTTATCCTTTTCAGAGTAAAGGAATATGTAATATAGCACCCCTAATATTTCTGTAATGGATTTTTCCATTTGTTAGCTCAACCAATTCTTCTTCAATCCTGGCACGCTACCCTTGAACCCTGAAAGAATTAACATCAAGTAGCACCTGTATGATGGGGGTTTTTTTAGGTATATCATTAACAAAAGACCTGATCCATGATGTGGTGAACAACCACAAATCTCATCAGCAGTGGCAGAGGCACAGACTGGTCTTTGGCAAGCCACAGCAGTAAAAAGTCATTGGTTGTGTGGCATTGCTGGGCTCAAGGACAACAGAAACCCACTGCAACAGCCCCTCAAGTCATAGCACCTTCCTACTACCTCCAATAGATCTGCCATGGAAGTAGCTCCACCTCTGTCAGCTGCAAAAGAAATGCTGTGCATGAGCAGCCACTGGTGGGAAAGAGTTTCACTGGAATAACAGAAAGAACAGAACAAGGAAATAAAAATTATTAAGAGGAACACAGGTCACAATATTTCTCTCACGTGGGTGGTTTTTTCCAGCTAAAACATAAAAATCCTCATTTTCCCCTGTGCATCACAGGAATACAGACAGGACTGTAAAATATAAAATGTAATCCAGCTGGAAATCCACACCTCAGCACAACACTTCTCAGGCTTTTTCAGATGTATCCCCCTCTTAGACCTATTCCACACTTGACCCTGTCTCCTCCTACGTATGCACCTCTTATAAGCAGCTCTGGAGCTGGCAGGGCACACCACTGAAGAAGGTGTCATGGAAGAATGCTGCATGGGAGCTGCTGGATGAGGTACTTTGTGGTTGGATGTAGAAATTTAGGGGAGGGTCACATCAGGGGACAGGACAAAACCACAAACTTGCAAAGGTGTGAGAAATACAGTAGCCATGGGACCACTGAGAGCCAGGTGGTGACTCCTCAAACAAACATGAATGACCATGTGAGTCTTCAGATAACTGGCACTTGTTTATTACATAGACAGCAGCTTTCTATGGAAAATGTTTTGTCACTTGCTGGTGTTCACTTTTTTTTTTTTGATTTATGTCCCGTTCTGAACAAAGATGCCAGTACTTCAGGGGGATTCTCACCAAATCTGATTAATGTTTTCCAAGCTGAGAAAACAGTCCCAAAATCCAAGGTGCTGTGGAATTTGAGTTACTAAGGTAGCAGAAGGGAAGGACAGAGTAGCTAATAAGGAACTAGAAGAAAATAGGATATAAAGCACTTTGAGGGTATCTCCTGATCTGGAAAACCCTAACAGGTGAGAGAGAAAAATGCACCGTCCTTTGAAAAAACTTGTACAAGAGTATCTGAAGTCAGATTCCTGAAACCCAAGGCCCCTGCCAAGTTCTGGTTTTTTTTTTTTATTTATTTATTTGGCATGTGCTCCTTCTCTCATGCAACACTGACTATTCTAGTGAAGCTGCTGATGCAATACAAAAGCAGGACTAATTGACAGTCTGCACAAACGACCCTAGATGATGATTGCAATTTATTCCACACCAGAACTAAGTAATCTTTGCACCATTTGTTAAACTACAGGGTGGCATTGGCAGAGATAAAACGTGCTGTCTTTCAGAAGAGGCTGATTAAAGCTTGCTGTCCCCATATGCACACAGGAGTGTAAAATTGGTCCCATTTTCCTGCATTCACTTACCACAATGCACTTGCCCCCCCTGCTGTCCACTTGCATTTCTACAGTTACAATTTGTGCAAGAGCCTTTAGGGACAGTTATGAATATTTATGCTTGCTTTCTCACTCCTATCACAGCCAGTATCACTGCCTTCCAGAGCGATCTCAGAAAAAAAAAAAACAATCTGTGGAGTTCAGGAACAGTTAAAGAGCCACAGATGCAACCTGGAGAACTAGCTCAGCTTTATTTACAGTACACTAGAGTTACTGGGAGCTTGACAAGTGTCTGCCAGGAAAGCAGGATTCACTAGGTGGTTAACTCCTCAGCAAAGCATCCTAGGTTTAGGTTATGGGATTCACTGCACATGCACATTCCTACTTTCCAGCACTTCTGCTAGATTATCACTGGGAACAAGGAGAAAAAAAAATGTCCTTCATTAAAAGAAACAGGCACTTCCACTAAACAGCTCTGGCAGCAGAAGGTGCTTCATGCGTATTCAGCTGTTCTGCTTGCTCCAAATGGCCAGAGGTGACCAACGTGGAAAGCAGTAGCAAAGTCCTGCCTGGCTTCTCTGAGGCCAACAGCAACCAAAACATAAGCATGTGCTGTCACTGGACTTACACTGCTTTTCTAGGAGAGCAAGCATTTCTTCCACCTAATTAATGTGTACTAATACTTTCAAGCAAGTGCCAGACAGAAGGTGAGGAAATACATGCCATGCTGAGGGGGAGCTGAAGGAGACCTGAGGAAAAACATGGCTATTGTAAAGGAAGCATATTGCTTGCCAGGGGTCCTGTTAGGGACTGCCTTCTGAAGCCTGACAGAGTAACTGCAGCATCTACATTACCATCTCCAACTGAGCTGTGGGTCAAAGCCCACTCCTTTCAAAACAGCCATCAGACATCTTCAGGCCTCTTCATTGCACTGGGTGGGACTTCACAGCACAGCAACATCCACAGTCTGGTACCTGCTGCCCTCCCCTGCTCTGTCAGCACAACAGGAAGCACCAGAACAGGGAGCCTCTCCCCCTTCCTTCTGTAGAGTGGGGACACAACCTGGCTGCTAAACTCTGCTAGAATAGCCCCAGGAAGGCCTGGGTGTTGACTAACAAGCTAATAGGGCAGCAGGAGGGAGGAGTGCCTTGTCACAGCCATTCTGCTCTCCGTGTGATGCTGAATCCCTTCTGTATTTACCCACCTCCAGAACCTTCGGCCACCATAATACAAGGAAGAGGCAGCAACACCTGTTTGGCCCAGCTCTCAGAGGGAGATGCCTTCTTTCCAAATCCTCCTGCAGTTCTTCATTTGAATCACTGGTCTGTTCCTACCCAGCTCTGAACTTTCTTGAGCAGCTGAGTTGTCATGCCAACTTCCTTTCCTTCCCCTGGGAATTTAAGACTGAGGAAATGGTAGCACCAGCACAGAAGACAGACAAGGGAAGTGTCATTTATTATGGACTTTGAGAACTAGCAGCTCTGAAACAGGGTGATCATAAACTTGGGGTGGCAGAGCCAGGTTAGTTTAATATTCAGCTGGCATTCAGATACTTTCCACAGACTTACCACAGACTAAATTTTCCATTAAGAAAAACAAAACAAACAAAACAAAGTGTGAATTTTGAAAGTGTGACCAGGTAGAAACAGTCTCTCCTCGGGTTGTGTAGAGAAAGTTCAAAGCAAATCCCTTGGCACAGAAGTATGGTGGACTGAAACCAAGCCAGTCTTCGGATGGTTTTCTCCCAGCACAGGAAACAGTAGACACAACTCTGGAACAATCTGAGGTGTTACAAAGGCAGAGAAAAGTACAAAAGGTGACGGGGCAAAGGGTGGAATACACCTTAAAACACCAACAGAATTTTGAATTGGCTGGCAGCCACATTAACTGCAAAGTGTTAAATATCAGTACACAAATGGCTCAGAAAGATCTGCTCCATTCCCCACTCACTCTCAACACAATCACAAGAGCAGTATTGGTTTCTTCAGTGTGCATTCATTTTGAGCCACACTGCTGTGTCTTCCCACTTCTATCTGAATATTCAACTTTTAGGATCTTCACACTGCTTCCCACTACCCCACCATCCAAGGCCTTCTGTGTGAAGGTCAGTAACAAAAGACAGCCCTCAGAAGGCTTGTAGTTCCTTGTGCTTGTCATTCGAGTTACATCTCTGCTTGGCATCAGAGCACTTTGGAAAGTGAAGGGGCTGACTTCATCTCCAGAGGCTAGAGTTTGAAATGCTTCTTATTAAAGTGAAAAGCAAGCATGGGGAACAGCAAGCATTCATTTAGATTCACTGTTCCAGAACTAAATGTTCATTATTCCCAAGCAAATGTCCCCATGCTTTGGAACAGGTATGTATTCCCTCCAGCCCAATTATTTACATGCAAACATGAGGTATGTTTGCTCTAACACTATTTTAGCCCAATTGAAGGGTGATGTGCAATCAACAACAGTTTTAGGAGTTTTGGAACCCTGAAAGTCACTTTTATTTAGTTATCAGCCCTGAAAAGGAGACAAAGGGGATGGGAGTAGAAGGAAAAAAAGACTGAAGTCAAGTTGAATTCTATTTCAGGTGAATTTATTGTGCTAGAAAGAACTTGCCAGATCCTCCCTATTTACAAAGGTTTTCAAGAGGATCTAGAACTATTACTGCTATGAACCACAAGTTAAAAATACATAAACAAACCAAATTAACCACATCCATTACGTTAACTGTAAAAACACCAGTTACCTTATAGGATTTTGAGGCATACTCAAATATGGGAAAATGCTTCCCAACCACTGATCTCTAAAGTCACCAGCAAGACTCTCATGTCTCCCTCTCATGTAGCTCTGCCTGAAGATCAGCAATCTTTATGCTACTGTTGATGGAAGTTGGTTTCTGTTCTTCAATATACACATTTTATGAATCAGGATTTTAATTAAAAGGCTATTCAGAAGGAAGCATTGCAAGGTGTTAAAATAATCTTAAGGAGAACAATGAAATCCCCTGTTGGTTCCATCTGATACTTTCGTGAGGTGTTATTGCTGCCAGATGTGCATGTAAAATTCTGTCATCGCTCCAGAGTCACAAAGTCAAACTTCCAGGGCACTGTCACTGTTCACATCTCAAGCAGCACTGTAAAAACAGCATCACCTTGAAAACATCACAATTAGTGTTCTCTTCTTACTGTCCATGACTCTTCTGAAAGGATGTTTTGATCAATTTTACCCATTCAGCTGCAAGAAGAAGTAATAATGCTCTCCAAATTTACTTGTCTACTCTACCTTTCCATTGCCCAGAAGAGAGCATGGGTTCTCTAAGACTAGGGGAAGAGAGAGCATATCTCCCAGTTCAGTTGGTTTTCATTTCCACATATATTCCAGCTGCACATCAAGTCCTGAAGAAGTTCTATGCTACAACACCACAATGCCAAAGGGATGTGGACATGGCCTGTACACTCACATCTGGATGCATGCAGTTCCCACTGACAACAGGTGGCTCTGCTAGTCTTGTTTACAAGCCTACAGGAACTTTTACTTGATACTAAACTCGACACATTATATAATGTTTGGAGAAGAACTTAATCACTTGAGTGCCAGAGGCCCTTCTCAGGGCATTCACAGGTGAATGTTGGCTGATCAACAATCTAAGTCTGTCACACTGACTTGTAAAGCATCAACTAAGATTCAGAGTTACTCTACACACAGAAAACTAAAAACCCATAAAGGAGTAAGTCAGTATCAAATAAAGTAGCAGAGAAGCTGCTAACAATATTTCAGAGAAAAAACAAACAAACAACAACAAAAAAACCCCCAAAACAAACACTGTAAAACCCTCTCTTGTACAAAGAAAGAGGAAACCTACCAGCTTTATGTTCAAAAGAGAAACATGTAACTTTGTTCCTACCGCAGGGGCTACAAAAACAAAACCAAAGAGAAGCCCAAGCATAGTTCATGCAAGAGAAACTGCCTCCTAGCAAGAAGTCTTTTATGAATTATGTGCTACACTACTCTGACCTGGCATCAGACCCAGAAAGCTTTGCTCCACGTATCAGGACGACTGTCAGAGGCACACCACACTGTCACATTGCTTTCCTCAAAACAAAAAAAAACATCCTCTAACAAAGTGAGTTTACAGAGCTGCTCACTGCAAAGCAGCAGTTACCCTAGGACTGTAAAAGTTTATACCATCATCATTTCAAGGAAATTCTCATAAACATCAATATTTGTACCTGGGCCATGCTGAGAACACATTCAGCTCTAACAGCACACACACAAATGACACCCATGCCATTATGAGAGGTCAGAATGAAGATGCTCAGGTGTTGTGACAGTGGGTCAGATATAAATTTTAGTAACAGTATCATATTTGCAAATAAGATTAAGAGCAAGTCTTCAAAAGTGGAATTACCCTGATGCTCGTGTACACAAAGAGAACATCAGAGTGCCATACATGCTACACAACATCCAACCACAGTGTGAACTGGTCAAAATCAGTGCCTAACAACAGCAAGGCCACACTGAGCAGGAATCAAACTATGATTGTGAGGAGAGGTTTATTGGAGAACACTTTCAGGCTTGGCAGAATATCCTTCCCTACCAGCACAATGGCTGAATGAGCTGCACCCAGTAACACTTCTTACCTGCCTCATACATCTCTTCCAGCCCTTCAGAGAATTCGATACAGATAATGCCACAGTAATATTACTGTAGAACATATTTATCAGGATATCTTTGCAGCTCAGGAAAGCTTGGGGGGGAGGAGTTCCTATTTTTTAGTTTTATTAAGTTAAATGTTACAGAAGTGTTTCAAAGGTATTCAGGTCCCTGAGAGCTCCATTATAATTTAAACACTAAGCAGGAAACCTCTGTGCTTCTTTTGTGTACTTAAGTCTGAGTTAGATGCTATTACTGTAAGCCAGCAAAACGCAGTCATGCTAGGCTTTGCAAAGGTGGTGGAGGAAAAAGAATTCCATCTACATTCCTTTGAAAAAACGGAATATAGTGTAACAAAAGACAACTAGGATAACTAACAGTCAGAACATCTTTACAAAATTCTCTGGATCGTGAACTGGCCATGGAAGATTCAAAATAACAAAGGCAGAGAGTTGTCCAACTGGAAGTGTTCGGAAAGACGGAGGGAAATCCATTCACAACAAATTGTCATTGCCACTGACACAGAAGAATCACAGTTGATAACAGAGTTATCTGGAGCCACTTTGTCAGTGAGAAAGTTTTAGCACCTGTAACAACCTGGACTTAATTAGTCCAGTAAGCTGGTGCTTTTCTCCTTAACAGATTAGGACTGACTGTTGGTAGACAACACTAACACATCCCTTTTTTTCTGTACTGGGCCATCCTCAGTCCAAGATCTGGGGCAGACTGCTTTACAAGTTTCCATTACCTGAATCATCTCTTCATTTCTTTTTTCCAGTACTGATAACCTCATGCTGTGATCTAAAGTCCAGTTTTTGAAAAGGCAAAGGGTTAAGCTATCAACCTGAGACTCAACAATTGTCCCTTCCAATTATTTAGTGCCTGAAATTGAGACATTCACACAGTACAACCTAGCAGTCATACATACATTGTCACTTCCTACCACACTTTGAACACAGTTTCATTAGTCAGTGACATTTTACTTCTCAACAGATTTTACTTTCCCTTGATCTTCCACTTTTTTGATGGCAGCTTGGATAGCTTCTTGATCACCCAGAAACTGGTGAGGGCCCAGAGGGTGCAAATTCTCATCAAGTTCAAGAAGTATGGGCACACCAGTGGGGAGAGTAACATTGATGATGTCCTCATCGGAGATGCCTGCCAAAGGAAAAACACAGAGTTACACCCACAGCTTCCTAATTGCCTATTGCCTTATTTCTGAGATTATCTAATCTCAAAACAGTCAAGGACACACATTCCAGACTCCATCAACACCATCAGCTACTCAACTGTCAATTCCCAGCTAGGCCATAGATTGGTTTGTGCTTTAGGAATAGGTAAAGGAGAGAATTCTCATGGAGGTGACGAGAGTTTCTTCATTTTTTCAGCCTACACATGTGAAAAGAACAAAAAGAGATTGCCCTGGAGACTATACTGTTCCTTTAACACAGCACATGGAGGACAATAGGTTCTCCTCCACAGTATCCCAACTCATGCATCACAAAGGATGATTAGAGTCCACAAGTGCTACTCCAACATGAAACAACCCCTGCTAAACAACCAGTACACACAGCCTCTTTAAAAAGGCAGAATACCAAGGTTAATTTTTCCCTTCAATTTTGTATGTGAAGCTTCTCACACAAGCTGTCTTAAAAGACAGTATTTAATTCTTCTACTATCAGGATCACTCAGATCTGATTTCTCATAAGCAAGTTTACAGCAGTGTCAACAGTACTCCTGTCAGAATTACTACATACAGGATATTCATTTGCACTTTCAAATGAGGGAATGGGGAAGAAAAAGGAGGGAAGAAGTCAACTTTACAGCTTAGAGCATTTTCCACTTCGCTAAAGGAATGTGTACCTGGAGAGAAATTTGATTTTATTCAGATGTGCTTAATTAAAATATTCTGAAGGCTCTGACCTCAATGAAATGGCTGGTTATTTTTACATCAAACACACAAGTCTCCAGAGCCTCCAAGTGAATTTTGAGACCAAACATCCTAATGAAGTTTTCACACAAGGTCTAAATAGTCCCATTAAGAAGCAGCGACTGCAAAGACATTCTCTCAGAAAATCAGGCAAAAGAAAGCTAGTGTCACTGGGAATGTCAATAATTTCTTTTTTCCTCCCCTTTTTAGAAGTACTGAGGTCACAGCAGCAGCCTGCTGTTGTAAAGCAGGACAGCTTTGAGCAACCCACACTTAGAAAATGCACACAATCAAGCTTCTAAGGTGATGACACCATACAAACTAGACCAAGGTGCACCAAGAAAACATCCTCTCAAGCAGCTGACAAAACAGATGGTTCTCAGAATACAGGGGTGCAAATTTACCAATGATTTTCACATTAAGCAGAAAAGCAGAGCCAGCACATTAACAGGAAAACCCATACCAGTGAAGCCACTCAGCCACAGTAGGGTGACAACAGGTCAGAAAAAACAGAGCTAACCATGAGGTAGAAAGACTACACAAGCATGCAACTTTTGCAGTGACCTACTCTTGCTTAGATTAGCCCAAGCACTTAGGTTAGCCCTGAGTTTCAAAAGGCACGGAGCACCAGAAACAAACCCTTTCAAGAAACTTACACTTTGTTACAATATTGAATATCAGCCCTTTAAAAAAAAAATTCACACTGTGACAGTTTAAGCAATCCTTGCACACAAGGGATACTCAGCTGTTGTAGGCCAAAGAATCAGACCTACAGCAAAGAACTCAAGGAGTATCTAAAATTTTAAACCAGCACAGAAATCAATGGAAAAAAAACCTGAGTCTGCTTACCAGGCATAAGCACAGTTCTCAAAGACTTTGGTTTGCAAAACAAGCAGTCAAGCTGCCTGAGCTCTTATTTCAAGGATTCTTAAACATCAGATTTTAACAACATACATGTCACCATGTATCCACAGAGAATCTGTGCCTAGGAAGTGTTCTGCCCACCTCTCAGATTCAGTCTCCCAGACTAAACCATTCATATATACACAAAGCAGATGAAGTCACACAGGATAGTTAAGGCAAACCATATAATGTGGTCACAACCCATGATATTTAAAAGGTTTTTCCTCTGGAGTGGAATAAACAGAACTAGCTGTAGCTACACAGATTCAGAAACGCATTTTACTGTTTTTAACAGAACACAAAGTGACCACAAATGTCAACTAGTATTGATTTACAAAGCAAAATGGTGCAGTCTAGGATAAACATGCTGCAACAAGCACGGTGGCTTTCTCCTCAGGATTTCTCCTCCTACAGAAGTGTTGCCTCACAGCCAGAAGCATGGAAATGCAAGCTCAAGTCAGAAGAAAATTCTACAGAAACAACAGTGTCCTGTGGCTTTATCTCAGCACTGGTAGAGCATCTGTGAAGTATTTCTGTTCCTCAGGAAGCAAGAAGCTGAGCAGGATTGTCACACAAACTCTTCGGTTGCAGGGAGAGTTCATCAGAACACTTCCGCAGGCCAGGAGGCCAGGGAAGGGTTTACACCTCACACTCCAGCCACTGTAACTGGATATCTCTATCCAGTAACTGCTATCCAGTTACTTCACATGCTGTAACTCAAACCAGCTGACCTTTTCTTGCACTTCATCTGAGCTGGCCTGTGTCACAACCTGTCGTACCTCACAGGGAAGAAGGGTGAAATCAGAGCAAGGTCTCAACTGCTGACTACAAGGTGCAATGGGAAGTAAGATCACAGAAGAATCAACACTCTTCCCTCCCCACTTTAATCCCAAAGCCTGGGTCTCAGCACTGCTGAAGTGTTGCTGGAAGCAGTCTTTACCCAAGAAGGTTTAAAACCCAGGTCCTACCTACTTACAGACATGAGAACCCACAGGCATTACTGAAATACTTGGGATGACTTCCTCAGGACCCCAGACAAAATGCTGACTGAGCAACTACGTTCCTCAAGTAGACATTTCCCATGTTCTCTCACGATCACATCTTAAACACTGTCCCTTAACACCAGCTGTACAGCAGGAAGCAGTTCAGTACATGAACATTGTAGTAATTTGGTACAACAATCACTACAAAAAAGACCTTTGAAAAATCACATTCAGAATTCTTTCCCAGCTCACTTACACTCCATTTAACTGAACTGTGGGTGATCAAACCCACAGAGACCAGAAATATCTCAGCACAAGTTTAAGAATTCACCTTTATGGTGAATTCACTTCGTGGTGGCCCATGAAGTGCTTTGAAATATTCATAAACTGGAAAGTCCTACAGAGACAAACCCCACTGATTTTGAGCACCTGCAGCCAGCTTCTGCAAAGGCTGGTTCAGCTTCTCCTTCCCTCTCACCTGCTCTTACCAAGTTCCTTCCTTCTATTCTTCTGGCTGGAGCAACACAAAAACCAGAACAGCTACTGAGAATAACTACACCCCTCTTCCCCTGCACGCCAACTACACTTGAAGCCAGATGATGCATCCAATAAGACACACAAGACCATATGCATAAATTCAGCCACAATGGACTTGCTCAAGAACTGGTGCTTTGTAGGTGAGATCCAAATCAGGTCAAAGCATCCTTCCCACATGCTTAATGAAAATACTGAAGCTTTAACTAGTAAGTTAAATATTCAGAGCCAATTTCTGTCCTCCCTGTAGGCTAAGGAGGACCTAACTTCAACAGGGAAGAGGAGGGAAGTAAGCAGTGTTAGAATCTGGCTTTTGGTCTTTACAGAATGTTAGCTTGTTGTGCAGGTTTTAAGGAAAGAAAGAAAATGGAGGGCTACAACCATGGCTGCAGCATATCATGCCTGTTTGTTTCATCCTTATGTCTGCCAAGTCTGTATTAGGTTTGCATGACAATGTTTTGGTAGTAGGGGGGCTACAGTAGGGCACCAAAAAGAATTATGGGGGGTTGACCCACAGAGCTGCTCTATCACTCTCCTCCCCAGCATGATGGGAGGGGAAAAGAAATAGGAAAAAAAACTTGTGGGTCAAGAGAAAGGCAGTTTACTAAAGCACAAGCAAAGGCCAAGCACAGAAGTGAAGAAAAACAAAGGATTTATTCCCTACTTCCCATCAGCAGGTGATGTCCAATCTATTCCCACTAATTAGGGCTTCAGTCTGCACAGCAGTTGCTCCAGTGCCATTACAAATGTCTCTCTTCCTTTTTCTTAGCTTTTACTGCTGAGCACATCCTATGGTTAGGAATACCCAAAGTTCAGATTGGGTCAGCTCTCCTGGCTACATCCCCTCCCAAAAACTTGCCCAGCCCCAGCCTACTGAGGGACAATGTTGGAGAGACAGCCTTGATGCTCTGGGAGCACTGCTCAGCAGTGGCCAAAATACAGGCCAAGTTAACTTGCAATAAGGCTCAACAAGCTCACAAGAAATAAGCAGCAGAAGGACACAGCAAAGACTGGGGTGAATGACAGGGAGAGCAAGACAATCTCATTTCAACAGCACTGAACTGTTAGATCTCAAGCTGTTTTCTGTAACTGCACTCAGACACCACAGGCACATAAGTAGTATTTCCTTAAGAAGGTCAAGCAGCAGTAATCTTGTTAAGAAGCCCTCAACATACAATCCACACCAGGTCACACCATGTGTAGCTCCAGCATGTAAACTACTAGAATACTGTGACTGCACAAGTATCACACTTAGAGTAGTGCAAGAAAGTAAAACCCTGAGGGCACTGCTCTCCCTGCTCATAGGCTGGCAAAACCAGCATGAGGCCTTCACAGTCACCACATTCTACCAGCAAGCCCAGTTCCAGAGATCTGTCCCAGCTCTGTGACAGCCAGTCAAGCCCAGTGATTGCAACATCTGCATCTTCAAGAGACCAGGTAACTCTTCTCCTCTGTTTTTAACCCTGAGCATGACAAGGCTCAGTGACCACCACACCATATCTAAGAGATGACAACCTTTCAACAGGTTGGAAACTCAACAATCAGGCCTTCCACAGGACCATGTCTTGAAGTACTTGGGACCAGTCCTCAGGGTCAAATGGTTGGGAGGAAAGAAAGAAGCTGAGACAGCTCACTAATCCATCTGCAAATCACCTGATAAATCAGTCCATTGGACTTGGTCTCCCAATTAGTACTTCAATACAAACAGGGCAAGGTGGTCAAAAGTATTACACTAATGTCTTCACAATGGGACACTGCTAAAAGGTTTCCAATCTGAAACACAAGTTATTAGATAAAGAGAAAACTTCCTCCATCAAAGAATTGAGCAAATCAGCTGTAAATATATCCTGTGCATCTAGGATGAGTATTTAGCATGGCAAATCCTACAGGCATTTCATACACCTTAATGATGTCCCCTCCTCTGTGCACTGAGAAAACAAGACCAAAATCCAAACCCATTGTTAGCACAACACTCTGTTCTGATGATTGCATGCAAGCAGAACTACATTTCCAGCTCTTCATCAGTTTTGGAGAATCACGGGCCTGTTCCAAAAAAGACACCTCCTTGAAATAACAACTTCAAGGATACTCTGAAGTCTTTTAGAAAAAATAAAATAAAATGCAGAGTGAAACACTTAGAATTGTTTCATCAGACCAAACTGAATGAAAACATTCATATTTACTGCCATTTAATCTTGGAAGATGTAGCTTAGAAACTTAAAGTTAACTCTATGACTAAGCCATTCAAGTAGTCATGTAGCCTTGAAGGATTGCTGCTTGAGGCATTTGGAGCCCAGTTTTCAAAATGCCAAAAAAAAAAAAAGAGGAAAAAAAATGGTTCCAACTAAGCTAGAGAGGCTTAGAAAATTCCACTGAAGTACAGGATACACTAAGCTTATCAAAAAAATTCACAAAAACAAAGTCCATCTCACATTGGGTGCTATAAATACACTAGACTGCAAAATTTCAAGCAGTCTTGAATCAGGTCCAACTCCAGCAAGACTCCAAAGCAACTCACAACCTTTCAGGAGGCAAAGGGAGAGCAAGCCAGCAATGCAGAGAAGGAACTCTCAGACCCAGCTAAGGAGCTCTTAAATAAAAAATAAAATTAAAAAAAATAATAATAATTAAAAAATAAGCAGGTTGAAATAACAGAGGTCTCTGTTCATGCTACCCTTCAGGCCAGTTCTTCAGCAATCCAATCTCCACTACATAAACAGCAGGAGAGCCAGCAGGTATGTGGCAATTGCTTCTGTGGGGCAGCTGATGGACAGTCCTTAGTCAACAAAAGAAGATCCTCTGCCAAGGATTCCATCTTCCAGTTTAGGATGACCTGGAAGCCATGAGATGAAAGAGGAAGGAGGGGGGAAGAATCTAACAATGCAAAGGATGTGATTTATCTTTAAGTCAAGTCCCAGATAAGTCCTTTCCAAGCCCAGCTCTGGGATCTTCAGCACAAGAAAGACATGGATCCGCTGGAGCAGGACCAGAGGTGGGCCACAAGGATGATCAGAGGCATGAAGCACATCTCCTGTGTGGAAAGGCTGAGAGACTTGGGGTTGTTAAGCTTGAAGAAGAGAAGGTTCCCAAGGCTGTCTAAGAAAGATGGGTACAGACTTTATAGCAGGGCCTGTTGCAATAGGACAAGGGGTAACAATTTTAAAATAAAAGGGGGTAGATTCAGACTAGATATAAGGAAGAAAAATTTTATGATGAGTCTGGTAAAACACTGGAACATGTTCACCAGAGAGGTAGTAGATGCTCCATCCCTGTGGAAACATTCAAGCCCAATTTGGACAGGGCTCTGACCAACCTGATCTAGTCAAAGATGTCCCTGCTTATTGCAAGGAGGTTGAAGCAGATGGCCTTTAATGGTATCTCCCAATGCAAACATAAATAAGCAACCTTACACTAAGCTACCAACTTGGCTGTTTACCAGAATGCATTTTCTATATTGGGAAAAAACACAGTATTTTCTTAAGCTTTAGCAAGTACCTACTCTCTGCAGAACTCTCTGGCACACAGCTCATAAGTAAAAAATTATGAGGAATGAAGCCTCAAAAGTGACCCACCACAGTAATACTAAAGAACATCTTCCACAACCCAAGTCGAGCACTTTTATTCTACTGTGTTACAGCAATGCTTGTTTAATGAACAGATGATGATTTCAAACCTGACAAAACAGCTGAATAAATCCAAAATTAATTGAGCCTGAAGAGTTTTTGTCTACCTGGACCAACCACAAAATTCGTTTGAATACAGTAGTTTTAAATGAACAATGAGAAACAAGAAGAAAGCACCTGGCCCTTTTCTTAAATACATTAACCTAACTAACTCTCTCCGCTTCCACATGCCTCAGTTTGACTCCTGATCAACTTTTTATTTTCTCCTTGGAGATTAGAAACATTACATCCTGGCCCAGATAAGTAACATACATTACAGAACAAGATAAAAAACTCCAAGCCATTGAGTAAGGAGGAGAGAGGAAGACCAAAAAAAAAAAACCCTTACCTTCAATATGTTTCAGCAATGCCCTGCTGGTGTTACCATGAGCAGAGATCAGAATCATTTTGCCACTTTTTAGTTCTGGCACAATCTTTTCATTCCAATAGGGAAGCAGTCTGTCAAGCACATCTTTGAGACTTTCAGCTTTCGGGAGACTTTCCTGAGAGACATCACTGCACTTATAGCGGCGATCGTTGTATATCTCCTCGTAGTAAGGGTGAGATTCGGATATGGGAGGCGGGGTGACATCGTAGCTTCTCCTCCATATCTTCACTTGCTCCTCCCCGTGATTCAGAGCCATTTCTGCTCTGTTGAGCCCGATCAGGGCACCATAGTGACGCTCGTTCAGCCGCCAGGAGCTCTGAATGGGGACCCACTCCTGGCCCATCTCTTGCAGGATCAGCCATGCAGTCTGGATGGAGCGGCTCAGCACAGAGGTGAAGACAAGGTCAAACTCAAAGCCCAGCGCTTTAAGGTGTTTGCCACAGTTCTGAGCTTCCTTTATCCCATCACTGCTCAGCTTCTGGTCCACCCAGCTGCAGAAGCGATTTTCCTTGGCCCAGGCTCCTTCCCCATGTCTTAAGAGAACAAGCCTATACTTAGACATTTTGATTGCAGCTTAGCACAGCTGGCAACTTGATCTGGCATCTAATAACGATGCATCTGGACAAAAACATGAGATAGATACATCAAACATCCCACAGATAGTGCACAATATGTCAGCAAAAAGTAAACAACTATCAGAATCAGAACAACCAAAGAAACAAGTGTCTGCTGAGTATGTTTTTACGTCTGAGGTCTCCTGGTTTTGAATTCCTCCCACTCTCGTGTAGTAAGAGAAGCACCATCCTCCACCCAGCTTGTTGCAACTAGCCCACTTAACCAACTAATTAAGAGCAGATTTGTACAAGCTGTTCCAGTCTACAGGTTTCCCTCAAGTGCTTTAACAGAGCCTGACTCAGTATCACAGGCTCCCAGAGAAGCAGATCTCACTCTCACCAGTGAACTCAGAAGTAACACGTGGAGCTCAAGTGCACAAGGGCTTCCCAGATCCACACTTCCCAGATCCACACTGCCTCTGAGGGAATGCAGGCACAGACAGCAGCTGTGGCCCTCAGCCAGAGGAGCTGGAGAGCAGGACCACAGAACTGGAACTGGCAACATACAGAAGCTTATCAGCTTTTCTCAAAGGAGATGTCACCATAATTATGCTCTGCATAATATGTTTCCTCATGACCCTATCCTGTCCTGTTAATTATTCCAGTCTCTGGTTGATTTTTCTGCAGGCCACCTCCTCCATCATTCCTCCACACTCAAGTGTGACAACACAAACACTCTGGGATGCAATGCACAGCTAGCAAGTCCTCATGTCACTGAATCCAGCAGTGACCTCACAAATTACGCTATCCCCTTCCTGACTTTCAAATATATTATTCCTCTTCTGCCTGTGATGTACAATGCCAGCTTCTCAGGCACCAGGATTAATGTTTTTACTTTTGCAGTGGGCACAAAAGGCCTGTTTGTTGTCCTCATTAAATAAGAGCTACACGTTCATAAGGTCAAACAGCACCTTTCTCTGCTCTTGCTGACCAAGCAACACTACTCCTTGATTGTCTTCAATGGGAGATACATTTTGACCACTGGTCAAAAGGGTCTACAAGGTGGTCAAAGATCTTCTAAGTAGATTATCCAATGCCAGAAAGGTCCATCTAACACAGCACTGCAACTCTGAAAGCCCCACCTGATCACTCTGACCTGAGAAACAGGTTAAATTGTAATGGACAAAGCAGGGGGGAAAAATATAAAAATATAACTCTACACACTGGGAGCACTGCTGTATACTCAGGTGACTATAAGAGCTCTCAAAACCATGGGCAATGGGAGACTGAGGTCCAATTTCTGCACATCCAACCTTGGACTAGATATCCATAAGAGACACACTTAAGGGATCTCCCATCATCTCAAATTAGCTGCTTCAATTACACTCCAAGTGTCTCAAATCCAGGCCCACTGTGACCATGAATTAGGTCAGCAGGATGGGATAGGCCCATGCACACTGGGTTTTGGGAAACACCCAGCATGATATTAGAGCTCCTTGTTAGCAGACTTTCAAAAAGTGTCCAGAAAAGCTGAATTCATTAACAGATTGAGTAATTTAATCTTGACTGTAACAGCACCTTAATCTCACACAAGGACACTATGCAAAATCTCCCCAGCTTTAACTTCTGCCTAATGGTACATCTCCAGGATTAAAAAGCTTTTGAGGACTGAGATTTTTGCAGAATATCAGGTCATATTGTCTGACACACAATAGACAGTTGATAAATACAAAGAAAAGTCTTATTTCATGCAAAGGGGAGGGAGTACAATTTGTGTATGGCACAGAACATCTCAGGCAAAACCCCCTGCACGCTCCATTTTTTCCACTCACAACAATCAATTGCACATTAAGCAAAGAAATCAGCTATTGCTAGGATTCAGGGGCCAAGTCACATCACACAAACTACACCCTTTAAGATCCCAGGTTTATAACAAAAAAAAGTGTCAGATAGACCACTTTGACTTTAAGATGCAAATGCTTTCTCCAACATCCCTGAGATACAATTAAAAAATTGCAGGTGTCCAAAGCATGAACTAGTACACCTAAGTAGCTCCAGAGAAAACTCTGTCTCTGCAATGAGTCTGAACAATGAGGTCATCATCATCAGTCTGAACAATGAGGTACTACCTACAGGAACAGACTGAATATTTTACAAAATCAAATGAAGACCCAACCAAAAGACCAAGACTCAACATTAGAGGAGGTGCACAAGTCTGGTTGGTACTTTTGGCCAAAACAATAAAAAACTTAATAAATATTAACAAAAATAGTTATACAAAGACCTAATATCATCTGGGGACCATGAACTCCAGTTCAGCTACATAAAACACAT